TAAAAACAATTCCTGCACATTTGAGGGCTGTTCTTAGTAGGCGTATTAGACAGCAAGATGCCACAAAGTTGCGGTTTCACCTGCGAGTTCAAAGAAAAATCTGAGTTTCATAAAAAGAAAAAAAAAACATGGTTTGTTTGTTCAAAGCAATCGCCTCTGCTCTAACATGGCATGAGCCTTCATGAGTCACTGACTTACACTTGGACTTTATTGTCATTTTGTGCACACAGAGTGTATACAAAAAGAAATTTTGTTCAGTACAGCTCTCAAGACAGTTAAATTTTTTTTAAAGTGCCGCAGTAATAGACGTAAACGTACAACTGTATATGATTTACAGTTTCCAACATTCAGGGTTTTTTTGTTTTATAAACCCCGTTTTATACAACATTCAGCAGCCTAATGGGAGTGGGGAAGAAATTGTTCTGGAATCTGCTGGAATCCCAGAAGGCAGCAGGGAGAACAGTCCAAGGGGGGGGGTCATTGATTATGCTACGGCTTATAGGACACGCTAGCCTCGTGAGACCATCCTGATCTCGCGAGCTTTCAAGGTTTCACTCGCAGATCAGTCTGGAGACTCTCTGTTAAAGAAAATTTGGAGCCGTTCACCAAACGAACGTCCAATCAGCGTTGGCTTTGAGGCGGGTTGAGGTGTGACGCAACGAGAAGCGCGACAGTTCAGTCTAAAGAACGTGGCGGCTTCAGCCGATGAAACTAGCGTTAGCGTGGCTATCGAGCAAGTTTAATCGGAAATTACAGAATATTTCTTCACTGAAAGAAGAGCAAAAGATGTTTTTGTTCTTCTCCCGACTGGTTTCGGCAAGAGTTTGATCTATCAATTGGCTCCTCTTCGTCGCTCTGTTAGTACGTCATATGCTTCGTTGATCTGATTGGTTTATTTGGCCCGTCTATCACCAACATAGGCCAATCAGCTAACCAGTATTTTCGCCCCTTCCCAAAATTATTTCAACGGAAGGTTCCCAGATGGATATGCGGAGCAAATCCATCTGGCGGAGTCAGGTTAAGAACACGCAGCGGTGGGATGAAATGTCTTTAATGGAGGAAAGAGGAGCCCTGATGATCTTCTCTGCTGTTCTTACTACTCTCCTCACCTTCTTCCAGTCTGAGGCGCTGCAGCCTCCACACCACACAGTGAGACAGCTGGTCAGAACGCTCTCTATGGTGCTTCTGTAGAAGGTGGTGAGGATGGGTCAGGGCAGGTGGGCTCTCCTCATCCTCCGCTGGAAGTACATGAGCTTCTGTGCCCTTTAGATCAATGAGGTGGTGTTTACATTCTAGGTGAGGGTGTCTGTGATGTGCACCCCCAGGAATTTGGTGCAGCTGACCACCTCTACAGCTGAGCTGTTGATGAGCAGTGGATCGTGGTTAGGCCGGTTCTTCCTGAAGTCCATGATGATCTCCTTGGTCTTCTCCACGTTCAGGATCAAGCTGTTGTCTCTGCAATAAAGTTAGATAGTTGAGTACATTTTTGAGTAGTTTTGCATAACCTGATAAGCTTTTACTGGAGCAATATTCTTTCAAAGTGTTTCTACTCTTACTTCAGTAAAACTTCTGACTATTTCTGTACTCACTGCGAGTAAAGAACTGATTTATAGTTACTATTAATACAACAGAGATAAGGGGTGCTGTGGGGGGGGGTTAGGAAGATTCCAAGGGCCCTTGATTGAGGGGGGGCCCAAAAGAAGAAGAAAAGATATATCCTGCTATAT